GAGGAGGAGGAGGAGGTGCGGTCCAGGGGTCTTTACAATGCGCCCCAGTGGCGCATGCGAGGCGCCATCGAGGCGTCTGGGAACCTCGCAAGAGGCGCCTGTCTGGAAAGGCGCCCCAGAGACGCCTGAGAGGCCGAGGGGCGCCCGCAGAGGTGCTTGCGAGGCGCCCCGGAGGGGTTTGCCTTGGCATCGCTCGGACGTGTGCATTTTTCTTCCGGCGAGGACCATCGGGGAGCATCCTTGATCATTCGGCGAAAAACCACGCACGAAACCGAAAAAAACAGAGGGAATGGACGTCCGAGCGATGGCCAGTTGCGAGGCGGCCCAGGGGCTTCCGAGAGGCGCCCGCAGAGGCGTCCGCGAGGCGCTCCCAGAGGCGTCTGCGAGGCGCCCCAGGGGCTTCCGAGGGGCGCCCGCAGGGGCGTCTGCGAGGGGCCCCGGGCTTCTGAAATCGGGTTTACCCAAAAGGGGGTTCAGCGACAAGGGGGTGATGCAATAGATTTGGTGCAATATTTTTGCGGGGTTGCAACGCATCGGGGGCATGCAATACATTCCGGGCCGCAAATGTATTGCTTGATTTTCGCGTGCAACACATTCGTCGCAATACAATGCAATTTTATTCTCCGGCGCAATACATTTGCAACACAAATGCCCCAAATCTATTGCACCACCCCCTTTCAGCTGTACCCCCTTTTGGGTCGACCAGGTGAAAGACGCCCGGGAGGGTTCTGAGAGGCGCCCCAGGGCGGCTGGAGCCGCTCTTCCTCCGTGGATTAATTCCGGATGGAATTCGTCGGAGACGGCTGGCGTCTGGATCCAGCCCGCGCGAGACCCCAGAGGTTTCTCGTGGGAGGGTTTGTTCCTGGATCATTACGAGGTGGATGTACTCCAAGGCTATTTTACAGGAACGCCGGAGTCTGGATCCAGCTGGAAAAAGAACAATGTTGGAGCCAATCTTGTGTTAGCTCTTGGATTCGTCTGTTTGGGAGGAGGAAGAGGAGGAGGAGGAGGAGGAGGAGGAGGAGGAGGAGGAGGAGGAGGAGGAGGAGGAGGAGAAGGAGGAGGAGGAGGAGGAGGGCCAGGACGAGGAGGAGGAGGAGGAAGAGGAGGAGAGGAGGACGTGGAGGAGAGGAGGACAAGGAGGAGGGGGAGGAGGCGGAGGAGGAGGAGGAGGGAGGAGGAGGAGGGAGGATAGAAGGAGGACGGGGGAGGAGGAGGAGGAGGAGGAGGAGGAGGAGAGGAGGAGGAGGAGGAGAAGGAGAACCGTCGTGCCCCCACAAGGCCGACGCAGCCGCGGTACAGGCGCAGGTCAGGGAACTCGAGGACCGTCGCGCCCGCGCCGCGCCAGGGCGTTCGCCGCCGCCGTCGCCCTCGCTTTCCTCCTCGCCCTTCCCCCCCCCCAGCCCACTTCATCCCCCTCATTCCTCTTCTGCCCATACTCCCCCTCCCCTCCTCCCCCATGCCCCCTCGCCTCTCTCCTCCTCCCTCTCCTCCTCCACCTCCTCCTCCTCCTGCGCATGCAGGCGCTCTTGACGAGCCCCGAACGTAAAGCAGCACCCCTGGAGAGCACCCATCAGGACCTTTTGTCACCCGAACGGTTGGGGGCGGCATCCAACCGACGGGCCGCGACAGGGTGCTCTCCGAGGGGGCTGGCCTGGGCCACGCCCTGGCCTCCTCCTCCTCCTCCTCCTCCTCCTCCTCCCTCCTCCTCCTCCCTCCTCCTCCTCCTCATCATCATCACCACCACCATCATCACCACGATCCTCATCCTCATCCTCATGCTCATCCTGATCATCATCATCCTAATGCCTCATGTTCATCCTGATCATCCTGATCATCATCATCATCATCATCATCATCATCATCATCATCATCACCATTATTATTATTATCATCAGCAGCAGCATCATCATCCACACCCTCATCACCGTAATCCTCATCAAGAGCATCATCAGCAGCAGCATCGTCAATATCATCAGTAGCGTCATCATCATCATCATCATCATCACCACCATCATCATCATCATCATCATCATCATCATCATCATCATCATCATCATCATCATCATCATTACCATCATCATCACCATCATCATTGTCGTCATCATTACCATCATCATCATCATCATCATCATCATCATCATCATCAGAAGCAGCAGCAGCAGCGTCATCATCACCAGCACCATCATCATCACCACCATCAGTATCATCATCAGGATCACCATCATCATCATCATCATCATCATCGCCATCATCATCACCACCATTACCATCATCGTTGTCGTCGTCGCAATTCATCATCATCATCATCAGCATCATCATCATCATCATCATCTTCATTATCATCTTCGTCATCAGCATTATCATCATAGCATCAACCTCATCACCATCATCATCAGCATTATCATCACCAGCATCATCATCATCCTCATCATCATCATCATCATCATCGTCGCCTCCTCCCCTTCTCGCTTCCTCGACCTCCTCCCTCTCCCCCCCCTACCTCGCCTCCTCCTCCTCCTCCTCCTCCATATCTTCCTCCATATCTTCCTCCTCCTGCCCCCCCCCCTGCGGCGCAGGACCGCTGCGCCGCCCAGCGCGGCTGGCAAGAGGAGCTGCTGCAGAGGCAGGGGTCCACCGAGGCCACTTCCGCGCGTGCTGGGGGCCAGGGCCAGGGACCGGCCTCGTGGGGGAGGTTCGAACGTCGAGGGATCGAGGTTCGAGGTTCGCTCTCTGACCGTTTCGGATACTCCCGGGGGCGCGCTCGTGGCCCGGCTGGATCCGCCTTGAGATTCTGGCCAGGGAGCACCCCAGGACAGGTCCAGAGGTCGATCTTCGATCTTCGACCCCTGATCGGGGGCAACGTTAGAGGGGGGAGGCTCGTGGGGGAACGTCTCGGGCCTGGGGGCGGAGGTCTAGCTGCGCCTCGCCGAGGGTGTCCTTGGCTGCCCGGACGGCCCCAAACGGCCGCTAGGGGCCCGAATTGTGGCCCGACAGCCATCGGGGACGGTGAAAGGCGCAGGGGGGGAGCGTCGAATCCCAATCGCCCGCTCATCATTGACGCGGGCCTGCTAGCCCACCCCGCCCAGGAACGGTCGGTTTCGCAAGGGGGGGCCTGTCGCTGATCTATCGGCGACGTATCACCGATTCGAGCTTTGTGTTCCCCCCCTGAGCTGTGGGGAGGAGAGCGAACATCAGAGCGGGGAGCAGGAAACTCAGTGGGAGTGGGTGTCTGGTGTTCGTGTGCAGACTTGGTTCATGCTTGCAGGTTCAGGTGAGGGAGGACGAGGGATAGGAGGAAGAGGAGGAGGAGGAGGATGAGGAGGAGGGGATCCAAGATGCCCATGCTGATACTGATGATGATCATGCTGATAATGATGATGATGCTGATGATGCTGATGATGCTGATGATGATGCTGATGATGATGTTGTTGATGGTGATGATGATGGCAATGACGATGACGATGACGATGATGACAATGATGCTGATGATGCTGATAATGATGAAGAAGAAGATGATGGCGGTGGTGATGGTGGTGGTGGAGATGATGGTGATTACGGTGGTGATGGTGATGGTTATGATGATATGATGTTGATGCAGACGTTGATGATGCTGATGATGATTATGATGATCAGGATGATGCTGATGATGATGCTGCTGATGCTGATGCTGATGATGGTGATGGTGACGGTGATGGTGATGGTTATGATTGTGATGATGGTGATGATCGTAGTGCTGATGATGATGATTACGACGATGATGCGGCTGCTGCTGATGATGATGGTGGTGATGAAAATGAGGATATGGATGAGGATGAGGATGATGATGATGGTGGTGGTGATGAAGATGAGGATGGGGATGAGGATGAGGATGAGGACGATGATGATGATGATGATGGTGATGATGATGATGATGGTGATGATGATGATGTGGTGATGAGGATGATGATGATGATGATGATGATAATGATGATGATGATGATGATGATGATGATGATGATGATGATGACGATGATGAAAATGATCGTTGGCTTATTGCAAGGCTTCAGGAGATCAGGAGAAATAGCACGTTGTTGGGCTCCTGGCTGGGAGCCGCAACTGCGTTGTGCAGCCGCAGCGGGTGCCCGATGGTCCTACACACCCTGTTGTGTCTGCACCCCGCCGCGCGGGTGTGACGGCCACCGGTGACCGGAGAGCGACTCCAGCCAGGCAGTACGGGCCCGATAAGTGGACGAGGCACGACGACTACAGAGATGATGACCCACAAAGCGTCATCACCCAGCGCAGGAGGGTAAGCACCAGCGATAGGACCATGAAGCAGGCAACCGTAACGACGATAACCTCAACGAGCGCCACGAAGTATAACTCCACGGGCATTGGCACGAAAACGACCTCCGCGAGCAATTTCTTGGAGGCGGCCTCCGCGAGCGCCAGCGTGAAGCGAACAGCCTCCCGGAAAAGTCCTCCACGAGCACATTTATGAAGAATACCTCCATGAAAATTCCGCAAAGTCTACCTCAAAGATCAAGCGCACACAATTGCAACAAGAAGACATCCACGATTATCCTCCCGAAAAAGCCTCTGCGAGGACCTCCACGAGCGCCCTCCGAAGAAGGCCTCTGCGAACGCGAGTGAAGAAATCTCAGCGAGCATCCTCCCGTAGAAAGTCTCCACGAGGACATCGATGAAAATTACCTCTGCGATGACGCTCTGGAGAAGACATTCGCGAGCACCAGCAACAAGAAAACTTCCACAAACACCCTCCTGGAGAAAGCCTTCGCGAGCAACTTCAGGAATAATACCTCCACGAGCACCCTCCGAAGCAGGCATCTACGAACGCGGGAGTGCAGAAGACCTCCGCGAGCACCTTTCCAGAGAAGGCCTCCACGAGCCACGAGCACGTCCATGAAGAAGACCTTTGCGATGACGCTTCGGAAAAGGCTTGTGCGAGCACCAACGCGAAGAGAGCCCCCACGATATTCATCTTGGCGAAGGCCCCCGCGAGCACCTTGATGACGAAGACCTCCGTGTGCACCTTCCGAAGAAGCCTCTATGAGCACCAGCGTGGCGAAGGAGGTCAAGACGAAGAAGAAAAATATGAAGAATAATATTAAACAGCAACATAATAACATCACCTCCACGAGCACCCTCGAGGAGAAGGCCTCCGTCATCGTCTTCATAAAAGAGACTGCCGTGGAAACGAACACCTCCAGGGAACCATCGCGCGGAAGAGCACGTCAAGGAAGCAGGAGCAGGGCGTCCCCGACACCAGAATAGCAATTCTACAGAGTCGTAATGCCGGCAGCCAGAAGAGAGCGCGAGATTGCGCGGCAAGGAGCCACGAGGGTGACCACGCAACGCTGCTGGACCCGCGTTGAACGTCGCGTCTCCGGCGGCGGCCAGGCGCTTGCTTCGCACCTTCGCCCACTCGGCCCGACGGGAAGAGGGTCGTGTCCTTGCAGCACGAAGCGGAGAGACTCCGCGCACGGCCGACGGTTAGCTAGACACCGATCCAGCAGAGGTGGCCTTCCCACCCAACCGCATGACAACCAAACGTAAGATGCACCTCGTGGAAGAAGAAGAGCCGAGAGAGAAAACGCGACGATAGTTGAACCACACCATGGCCATTGCACATTACTGTCAGTACCAGAAGGAGGAAATTGATGTTTATCGGTGGCGTATTGCAGGAATGTTGCAGACCAGGAGAATCAGCACGTTGTTGGGCTCTGGCGGGGAGCCGCAACCGCGCGGTGCGGTCGCAACGGTTGCCCGATGTTCCGACACACTTTGATGTGTTTGCACCCTGCCGCTCTGGGGTGACGGCCACCAGTGACCAGAGAGCGACTCTAGCCAGGCAGCATGGGCCCGAGGAGTGGACGAGGCAGGGCGACTACAGAGATGATACTGATGGTGATGACGACGCTGATTGTGATTATGATGGTGCTGATGCTGATGGTGATGATGCTGCTGATGAGAGTGATGGAGATGATGAGTGTGGTGGTGGTGATGATGCCGATCGTGATGGTGATAATGCTGATGGTGTTCATGATGATGCTGATACTGGTGCTGGTGAGGATGATGATGTTGATGATGGTGCTTGTGATGGTGGTGGCGGTGCTAATGACGGTGGTGATATTAATGATGAGGAGGAGGAAAACACTGGGAGGCCGATGATGAGAGGAAGGAGGGGGGAAACGAATGCGGACGACGAGGAAGGATGCGGGACAGGCGGAGGAGGAAGAGGAGGAGGAGGAGCAAGAGGGAGAACAAGGAAGAGAAAAAGGAGGAGAAACGATGAGGTGGAGGATTGCTGACGAGGCGGGGCAATGATTATGATGATGGTGGTGACGGTGGCGATGATGCTGGAGGAGGAGGAGGAATAGGAGGAGGAGGAGGACGAGGAGGAGGACGAGGAGGCAAATGGAGAAAAGGAGAAGCGGGAAGAGGACGAGGACGAGGAGGAGGAGGAGGAGGAAAATGACGAGTATGACAATGATCCAGAGGAGGAGGACTGCAGCGGGGGAGGAGCTCGAAAAGTACGGGGGGGAGAAGGAGGAGGCAACAGGAGGACGGAGGATGTGAGGCTGCTGCGAAGGATGAGGGGGGGGGCAACGGGACGGGGGCGTCGGGGAAGGGGGAGGGGGCGCCCCTCCAAGTGTCCACGCTCAGCGCCCTCCATTGTGCGCCCGCCCACAGTGGGGGGGATAGGAGCAGGGGGGCCTCTACAGCCCAGTGGCGGTGATGGTGGTGATGATGAAGATGATGATGAAGATGATGATGAAGATGATGATGATGATGATGATGATGATGATGATGATGATGAGGATGATGATGATGATGATGATGAGGATGATGCTGATGATGATGATGATGATTCTGATGATGACGATGAAGACGATGACGATGATGGTGATGATGCTGATGATGACGGTGATGCTGATGCTGATGCTGATGCTGATGATGCTGATGCTGATGATAATGCTGATGATGATGATGATGATGATGCTGATGCTGCTGATGGTGGTGGTGGTGGTTGTGGTGACGTTGTTGATGATGATGTTGATGATGATGATGCTGCTTCTGCTGATGATGATGCTGCTGATGATGATCATGATGATGAGGGGGAGGAGGGGGCACGCCACGATGATGATGATGATGATGATGATGATGATGATGATGATGATGGTGATGATGGTGATGATGGTGATGATGGTGATGATGGTGATGAGGATGAGGATGAGGATGAGGATGGGGATGAGGTGATGATGATGATGATGATGATGATGATGATGATGATGATGATGATGATGGTGGTGGTGGTGGTGGTGTTGATGATGATGATGATGATGATGATGATGATGATGATGTGATGATGATGATGATGTGATTGATTGATTGATGGTTATGAGGTTGAGGAATACTGAGGAGGAGGAGGGAGGAGAGGTGGGTGGTCGTGGACGGGGGGAAGGGAGGGAGGGGATGAGGATGATGAAGTTGATGGCGATGGTGAAGGTGATGATGAGGAGGAGGATGAGGATGAGGATGAGGATGAGGATGAGGATTAGGATGACGAGGAGGAGGAGGAGGAGGAGGAGGAGGAGGAGGAGGAGGAGGAGGGTTTATTTGGTGGTGGTATGATGTTGATGATGAGGGGGAGGAGGAGGGGGAGGAGGAGGAGGTGGAGGAGGAGGAGGAGGGAGGAGGAGCGGGAGGAGGTTATGACGGAGAGGAGGAGGAGGAGGAGGAGGGTTATGTTGGTTGTGATGATGATGATGATGATGATGACGTGAGGAGGAGGAGGAGGAGGAGGAGGAGGAGGAGGAGGAGGAGGAGGAGAGGAGGGGTGAGGAGGAGGAGGAGGAGGAGGAGGAGGAGGATAATAGATGATGATGATTGATGTGATGATGATAATGAGTAGGAGGAGGAGGAGGAGGAGGAGGAGGGGGGAGAAGAGGCGGAGGGATAGTGATGAGGACGACGACATCGACGAAGACGTCGGCGACGACAATAGCGATGACGACAACGAAGAAGACGACGACGGGCGCCGACGGACGGCGGCGGCGGCGACGACGACGCCCGCCAGGCGGCCCTGGAGAGGCTGCGGAAGGAGCTCAGGGGGCTCGGCCTAGACCGGGGCAGGCGGCGCGCCATTCCAGGGGATGGGAGGAGGAGCAGGAGGAGGAGGAGGAGGAGGAGGAAGAGAAGGAGGAGGAGGAGGAGGAGGAGGAGGAGGAGGAGGAGGAGGAGGAAGAGAAGGAGGAGGAGGAGGAGGAGGAGGAGGAGGAGGAGGAGGAGGAGTGAGGAGGAGGGCGGAGGAGGGCGGAGGAGGAGGGAGGAGCTCACCAAGCAGTGGTGTTTGATCCTGTCAGGTAGCCCGTCGTGCCATCCGCCGAGGGTTGCTACATGTGGCCAAGGTAACTTGTCCGCAGGGCTGCATCGAGGGAGGTCTTTTCTTGATCTTGCGCCCTGTTGTCCTATCTTGAGCCGCCCGCGTGCTTCACCTTTGGGACTTCCGTGTCGTAGTGTCGCAGGAGGGAGGCGGAGGAGGAGGAGGAGGAGGAGGAGGAGGAGGAGAAAGAGAAGGAGGAGGAAGGAGAATGAGGAGGAGGAGGAGGAGGAGGGAGGTTGATGTGATTTGTAGAGCTTCTCTGGTTAGCGAAGCAACAGAAGCTGGCTTAATTTTGGACCGCCGGCGGGCGAGTTGGCTCGGAAAATATCGACCGAGATTCTTTATGACCTGGGTCTTGTTGAAACATAGTCGGGGGTGGACAGACCTCCTACCCTGACACGTCGATTAAGGAATTGGCCGTTTTCGGTTCGCGAGAGGGCGTCGCGGCCGTCATTTTTGCGGGTCCAGGTCCGTCGGTTTCGGTCCCAGGCCGTTTTCACTAAGGGGAGGTCTACTAAAAGGAGGTTTGTCCACCGCCGACATAGTTGGCCATTCGCTTGGGGTGGGGCAACTTGTCTGATACGGGGGGCGAGCGGCTTTGCGTCCCCCACCCCCCACCCCTGGCGAACTCGCGGGGAAAATCCGCTGTCGTCGCCGCCTTCGTCGTCGTCGTCGTCGTCATCGTCGTCGTCGTCGTCGTCGTCGTTCGTCGTCGCCCGTCGTCATCGCCATGCCTTGCGCGCCCCCCAGCGCGGCGTCCGCCATTCGTCGTCGTCGTCGTCGTTGTCGTCGCGGGGCCTTTCGTTGCACCCCCTCCATGGGGCGTCCGCAGTTCGTCGTCGTCTTTGTCGCGCCCATCGGAGTCTTCGTTGTCTCAACCAGTTTTCTGGTGACCCACCCGTCCGTGGGTCTCTTCTTGTGCGCGCACCGTATGGTACACGTATTTGATGGCAATGTGTCGATTCATGTTGAGGCCCAAAATGCAAGTGAAACAATCGATTTGTCTCAACGAGGTTTTTGGTGACCCACCCGTCCGTGAGCTGCTACTGCTACTGCTACTGCCACTGTGGCGGCCGTTGCAATTTCGGTGGCCGCGGTGACCGTGGCGCCCGTGCCGCCGCATGAAGCCGCACAGAAGAAGGGCCGCGTTAAGGCAGAAATTTTCGCGAGAGTTTCTCTGTCCATTGCGCGACGCGAATTGTGGTTCATTCGTGTGGCCGCACAGGGAAGTGGTCACGGGGAAGATGCATCGGGGAACTTGTGCTGATTTACGAAGTGACCCACCCTTGGGGGCTGCCGCCAGCTTCGGGAAATCCGTTCGCCTTTCACCCTCCTGCGATTTCTCTTGAACCCACCCCCTGGGGGCCGCCGCCAGCTTCGGAGAAACCCGTTCACCGTTCGACCATTGGGTTTTTTTGGTGACTCCAGCCTTGGCCGACGCGGCGCGGGGAAGGATAAATTTGTGTAAAGTATGGGGAAGGGCTCTAACATGTCTCGTAATGGTCTCGCATTTGAAATGACGGACCCCTTCTTCAGAGCCCGAATTTGCCGGGAATGGGAGTGGTGCACTAGGGCAATTTGGATCTTATTTTTGCTCACCGTCTTGATATGAATTCGATCCTGTCGTTTTGAAGGGGGGAAATGTCCAGGCGGCAATTCGCCCTGGGATTAGGTGTTTGGCGCCACCCTGCAGTGCCCCCGCGGCACCTAGACTGCAGGCCGCTTGTCCGCTTATCCGCGGTCGGTTGGTGAACTTGATCTCGAAATTTAGAGCAGCTACAGGGCTCTCGCTTGCACGAACATATTCAACAGCATCGGAAACGTTGGTCTGCAGCCTCGAGGGACCTGAATTCGGTCTCCGAATCGAGTCGGCTCGTATCACTCTGCAACCGTTCTGCTGTTTTGTCGAATGGCCCTTGGACAAACATCTCGAGATCTGGAGTGAGCTCAGAGCTCTGCCTGTTCGTAAATGCGGTATGACCAACAGCTTTGCTCTGTCACTTCGAGAGACCTGAGCTTGGTCTGCTTCTCTAGATGTGATCGAACAACCAGGCGCACTTTGCAACCGTTCTGCTGTTTCGCGCGGTTTGATATGCTATGTTTCGGGAGTCCGATCAGCTACAGGGCTCTTGGTTGGACGAAACGATTCAGCAACATCGGAAGTGTTTCTGATCAGTAGTTTCGAGAGGCCCGAAATCGGCCTTCCACTCGAATTATTTTCGAAAGCCAGTAAAACTCTGCACGTTGTGCTGCTTTGTCGAACGGTTGTTGGAGAAAATCTCGAGATTCAGAGTGGACTCGCAGTTTTGCTCTGCCGCCCGCAGAGACCTGAATTCGGACTGCCTCCCAAGCTATGACCGAAATACCGACATGACTCTGCAACCATTCTTTTGCTCAGCAGTCTCGAGAAATCTGAGTTCGGTCTGCCATTCGAGCCATACTCAAACAAATCCAATACCACTCTGCAGCTGCTCTGCTGTTTCAAATGGTGTTTTTTTGCAAACCTTCAGGATCTAGAAGAGCGACGCAGCAGTTGCTTGAGGGAAGCTTCGAGGCTTTTGTGCTCAAGCAGAAGCCCCACGAGCTTCCCAGCGATGGCCGGGGTGGACGGCTCACCGCGGGTGCCCAGTTAAAAACCCGCAGCACAGGGTACCCCTGGAGCTTCTTCCGGTGCTGGTCAAGCAGCGTCGCAGCGCCTCCTGTGAGTCGGGGGCGGAAAAGAGGGGGGTGATGACTAGGAGGGGTGGATATCATGGCGGGGGGCATGATATTTCCCCAGATTTCATGGCGCCTCTTCTTGTTTTGTTACGTCCCTGGCCCCCCCCTGGGCCGCGCACATGCCGCCGGTCATGATTTGCACCCCCCCCTCTTGGACACCCCCCTCTTGGCCGCTCCCGACTGTGAGATTGCAGGGTGTCCCGAAGGTTGTTCCCTATTCGTTCCCAAGACGCGTGCCGCAAGCCTTTCCGCAGCTCCTTCGCAGCGCTTCTGAAGTTCTTGCGAAACTCTTTTTTTAAGCTTACAACCTCCCCAGACAGCCTTCCAAGCGTTCTTACATGCGTGTCCTACAACTTTGCACGCGCTTCGGACTGTTCGTTATCCAGGTGTGGACGCCACAAATAACTCGTAGAGCTTACCTGTGACTCGTAGAGCTTCTTTGGTTAGCGTAGCAACAGAAGCTAGAGTAATTCTGGAGCGCTGGCGGGCTGCCTGGCGCGGAAACTCTTTACGGAAGTTTTGAGAACATGGACCATGTTGAAACATAGTTTAGAAGATGTTTGACCATTCGTTTTGAGAACGTGTAAAAATATCCCAACGGTAATTCGGCCGGGGGCATTTTTGGGGGGCACGCGTTCGGTTGAGGAGCTAGATTTCGGGATTCCGAGCAAATACAGAGCTCTCGGGTGTACAAAAACGATGTATGAGCATCGGAAGCTTTTATATGCAGCCTCGAAAGACCCGAGGTCGGTATCTTACTTGAGTTATACTCGAACAAACTATCATCACTCTGCAACCTTGTGGTGGTCCATCGAACGGCTTTTTGGCAACATTTCGTGACTCTGAGTGAACTCAGAGCTGTGCCAGTTCGTGAACGCGGGTATGACCAATAGCTTCGCTTTGCCACTCTCAGAGACCTGAGCTCTGTCGGCTACTCGAACTACGATCGAACAACCAAGACCGTTCTGCAACTGTTCTGCTGTTTCGCGCGGCTGTTTTTCTAAGTGTTGGGATTTTGAGCTGCTACAGAGCTCCTGATTGAAGCGATTTAGCAGCCTTGAAAGTTTTGATTCGCAGCCTCGAGGGACTTGAAATCAGCCTGCTACTCGAGCGATCTCCGAGAAGCTAGTATCTCTCCGCAAGAGCTTCGCTGCCCTATCGAACGATTATCTGGCCTAAATCTAGCGATTCAAAGTGAGCTCAGAGTTCGTCTTGTTCGTGAGCGCGGGTATGACCAGTAGCTTGGGTCGGCCATTCCCAGAACCCTGAGCTCGATCTGCTACTCGAGCTATGATCGAAATGCCGACATCATTCTGCAATTGGTCTGCTTTTTCGAACGGCGTTTTTGCTGAATCTCGGGACATAGGGCAGCTACATATCTCTCGCCTGTGGGGAATGAAAGCACGAGAAAGAGCTTCGTTCTGCGGTCTCGAGAGATCAGAGCTCGGTGTGCTATTCGAGCCATACTCGAAGCACCAACCTCACTCTGCAGCCGCTCTGCTGCTTCAAACCGAATTTGTGCCAAAATTCTGGACATAGGACAGCTACAGAGCTCTTGATTAAGGGGGACTCAGTGGCGTCTGTGCTCGAGCAGAAACTTTACGAGTGGCTGGCAGTAACCAGGGTTGACGGTTCACCGCTGGAGCCCAATTGAGGTGGAGGAGGATGATTCGGAGGGGATGGGGAGAAGGACAGAGGGGGATCTCGATAATGATGATGGCGATTTTGATGATGATGATGATGATGATGATGATGATGATGATGATGCTGATGATGTTGATGCTGATGTTGATGCTGATGCTGATGCTGATGCTGATGAGGATGATGCTGATGATGATGCTGATGATGTTGATGGTGATGGTGATGGTGATGGTGATGGTGATGATGATGGTGATGATGATGATGATGATGGTGGTGGTGGTGGTGTTGGTGATGATGATGGTGGTGGTGGTGGTGAACGATGATGACGAGGATGAGGATGAGGATGAGGATGAGGATGAGGATGAGGATGAGGATGAGGATGATGATGGTGATGGTGATGATAATGATGGTGGTGGTGGTGATGGTGGTGGTGATGACGATGATGATTGTGGTGGTGATGATGATTATGATGGCGATGTTGATGTTGTTGTTGATGATGATGCTGATGATGATGATGAGGATGATGATGATTATGATGGCGATGCTGATGCGATGGTGATGATGATGAGGAGAATGATGATGATGCTGATGATGATGGTGATGATGACAATGATGATGACAATTATGATGTTGCTGATGATGATGACGATACTGATGATGGTGATGCTAATGCTGATGCTGGTGCTGATGCTGATGCTGATGCTGATGCTGATGCTGCTGATGATGGTGATGATGATGATGATGATGATGATGATGATGATGATGATGATGATGATGATGATGATGATGATGATGATGATGATGATGGTTATGAGGAGGAGGAGGAGGAGGAGGAGGAGGAGGAGGGGGATGAGAGGGAGGAGGTGGAGGAGGAGGAGGAGGAGGAGAAACAAGAGGAGGAGGAGGAGGAAAGGGATGAGGAGGAGGTAAGGGAGGAGGAGGAGGAGGAATGAGGGAGAAGCGAGGAGGAAACAGGAACTGGGAGGAGGAAGGGGGACGAGGGAAGCTCGAGAGGGAGGACGAGGGAGTCACCGAGGAGGAGGAGGAGGAGGAGGAGGAGGAGGAGGAGGAGGAGGAACAGGAGGAACAGGAGGAGGAGGTGGAGGAGAAGGAGTTGGAACCGCAGGCTGCAGAAGGAGCTTGACGACGTGGTGCGCGACCGGACGCGTCTGGAGGCCCGCCCTGCCCCTTCTCTTCTTCCTCCATCCCTCCTCGTCCTCCTCATTCTCCCCCTTCCCCCTTCTCCTCCCTCCTCCTCCTCCCTTCCCTCCCTCCCTCCTCCCATCCCTCCCTCTCTCCCTCCCTCTCCTCCCTCCTCCTCCTCCTCCTCCTTCAATTGTTTCTTTTTTTTGTCTTTTTCTAAAAGAAAAAGAAAAAACGCCTCCCTGTCGCATCCCGAGGTGTGTCAGCAGGGCGGGCTGGGCGTTCCGCTTCAAACTTCCCCACTGCGCGCCATTCTGGAACTCCGGACTTGAAGCAGCTTCATGGATGGAGGGCGGGTCCATTGCAGAGGTCAATGGACCCGCCCTCCATGTTCATGCAATGGAGCTGAGTTCGCCCTGGATGGAGGATTTCGCATGAGGGAATAAGGGACTGGAGGGTTCGCCCTGGGCGAACCCTCCAATGAGTCCAATTGTTCATGGATGGAGGGTGGGTCCATGGATGGAACTGGGTTCTCGCCTCAGCGCCGCACACAGTCGTCTAAAGTTCGCAAGAGCTTCACGGATGGAGGGGAGTGGTCTGCAACATGTGTTTTTTTTTTCAGCGCCGCGCACCCTCGTCTTACAAGCTTGCAGGTGCTTCACGGATGGAGGGCGCGTGGTTTTCAAAATGTGGTTCTCGCTTTGGCGCCGCGTACATCCGTCGTATAAGCTGACAAGAGTTTCACGGATGGAGGGCAGGTCTTTTTCAAACAGTGCTTTCTCGCCTTAACGCCGCGCGCATGTTTCTTAAGAATTCGCAAGAACGTCGCAGATGAAAGGCGGGTACTCTTCAACATGTGGCTCTCGCTTTAGCGCCGCGCACATTCGTCTGGAGGATATGCAGCAGTTTCAAAGATCATTTTGGATAACGTCCTAGAAATGGAGCTTCCGCACGATGTAGGACTGTCCACAAGCGTCAAGGTAATTCTCGGTGTTGAAGTCCCAGAAACGTTGTTCTGGCACGATTCAGGATCACCAGGGCGCAACAGGAATTTTGATTCGCGGCGCTGGAGTCCCAGGAACTGTGTTTTCGCACGGGTCAGGATTTTCAAACCGTTGTCTTCCAACGGGGCATTTACCCAGTGAAAACAAATATTTGCGAGGACGTGTGAAGAGGGAACTTGGAGGGAGGGTTTATTTCAACATCGTTGATGTGCCTTGGGTTTACACTGGTCCTTTCTCCTTCTCCTCCTCCGCCTCCTCTTCCTCCTCCGCTCCCTCCCTCCCTCCTTCCCTCCCTCCCCCCTCCCTTTCTCTCTCATTCCTTCCCCCCCTCTTCCGCATCCTCCCCCCTACCTGCCTCCTCCTCCTCTTCCTCCTCCTCCTCCTCCCTCCCTCCCTCCCTCCCTCCTTCCCTCCTCTCCCGCCTCCTTCTCGTCCTCCTCCTCCTCCTACTCCTATTCCTCTTCCTCCTCCTCCACCTCCTTCTCCCTCCTCCTTCTCCCTCCTCCTTCTCCCTCTCTCTTCCATTCCTTCTCCTTATGAATAATTCCTCCCTGTCGCACGCCGAGACCAGTCGGAAGGACGTGCCGGGCGTTCCGTCTGAGACATCTTTACCGCTTATGAGTTTGAAGCTCGGAGTTGGCGACAGCTTCACAGATGGAGGGTTAGTGGTTTTTGTAAATGTGGCTCTCGCCTTAGCGCCGCGCACATTCGTTTTCAACGTCATGTGCAAAAGTTTCACGGATTCAGGGCTGGTCGTTTTCAAAATGTGGCTCTCGCTTTAGCGCCGCGCGCATTAGCTCTAAAATATGGCAAAGAGTTTCACGGATTGAGGGCGGGCGGTATTCAAAATGTGGTTCTCGCCTTCGCGCCGCGCACATCCGTGTCAAGAAATGCAAGAGTTCCACGGATTGATTGAGGGCTGGTCGTTTTCAAAATTTGGCTCTCGCCTTCGCGCCGCGCACATTCGTCCTGAACATTTGCAATGGCATTCAATGGTTTCGCGGATCGACGGCGGGTGGTTTTCAAAATTTGGTAGGCTCTCGCCCTAGTGCCGCGCACATTCGTTCCTAAACGTGCAAGAGCTTCACGAATGGAGGGCGGGTGTTTTTCAAAACGTGGCTCTCGCCTTGGCGCCGCGCACATTTATTTTTAAACATTGACAGAGTTTCGTTGGTTCTCATGGTAACCGTACCAGAAGCTGTGTTTTGGAGCGACTCAAGACTGTCAGGGCGCAACAGTTACGTTGATTCGCGGTGTTGACGTCCTAGGAATGGTGTTCTGAGGTCCGAGGTAGCCCAGTTCCGGCCAGCACAGGAAGGGGAGTTCGAGGTTCGAGGCTCTGGGTTCGAGAAGGCTTTTTGTCTTTTGCGGCGTCTTTGGACCGTTTTCGGGCCCCGGGACCGTCAAAACCTGATCCAGGTGAACAACTGCATCTTATGCACCCCGGGAGGGGTTTGGGGATGGATTTTGAGCGGATTCGGCTACATCCCTCCTCCTGGCCGCTTTTCCCAGGATCACCTAAACGCAACAGTCAGGTTAACTCGTGGCGTTGAGGTCCTGAGAAAGGTCTTTTGGCACGCTTCAGGATTTTCACACGACAGTCCCCCAATGGGGCAATTCCTTCAGTGGACATGAACCCTTATCGGGGCCTATGAAGAGGGAGCTTGGAGGGAACGTGTATTCCAACATCATTGATGAGTCTTGGGTTTACACTGGTCCCTCCTCCTCTTCCTCCTCTTCGTCCTCCTCCTCTTCTCTCTATTTCTCGTCGTCCTCGCAGTCGCCGTTGAGAATCCAGGATCGGGGAGGGGGAGGAGAACGGGAGAAGGAAGACGAGGACGAGAAGGACGAGGAGGGAGGAGGATGGGGAGGACTTTTCTAGCCTCCGGACGACGACGGTCGCCGTCGTCGCCGTCGTCAACGTCTCTGTCCTCTTCCTCGTCCTCTCCCTTGTTTTCGTCGTCGTTGCCGCTGCCGCCGTCTTCGCCGGTGTCAATTGTTTGACGTGTTGGACCCTTTCTGGTCCTCCAGAGGCGGCCTCTGGAGACTTCCAGCGAAGACCGCGTCCTTTTTTCTCCACCTTGCTGCTTCTCATCCGCTCTTTCCAGCTGTCTTTCCCATGCTGCTTCCTTCCCTTCTCCGCCTTCCTCCGCCTGCAACCTTCTCGTCTTCCTCCTCTTCCTCCTCCTCCTCCTTCCTTCTCCTCTATTTCGTCGTCCTCACCGTCGCCCTTGTCCTCGTCCACATGTCGCCCCTCCTCGTCCGTCGTAGTCCGCCTCTATTTTCTCGTCATCCTTGTCCCCATCCTCTCCTCAATCTTCTTCCCCTCTTCCCTTCTGCTTGTCCTCTTCTCATCCCTCTCCCCTTTTTCTTGTCTTCCTTCCTCCTCCGCCCTCCTCTTCCTTTTCCGCCAACCGATTGGTCTGGCAACCGAGCTCGAGCGACACCAGTCGAGACCCTCGGCTGGGGTCGAAAACCGAGAACAGGACCCCGAACGTGCTGCCGTGCCACATCGTGCCACACGGAAATGGGGTCGAACCCAACGGGGAAGGGGTAGGGGAGGGGGGGGTGACGTGGCACCGCTCGGACGTGTGCACTTTTCCTCGGCGAGGACCATCGAGGAGCATTTTGGGCCATCCCGCGAACCAAAATGCGCGCACGGAGCCAACAACTGCACGGGGAAGGGGACGTCCGCGCCATGGCAGGGCGACGACGTCTGCTGCACACCGGCTCTGGCTCTCCGGCCCCGCCGGCGGAGCGCCTCCCAGGAGGAGTTGGCCCCTTCCTCCTCCTCCTCCTCCTCCTCCTCCTCCTCCTCCTCCTCCTCCTCCTCCTCCTCACTTTCCCTGCTCCCTTCTCGCTCCTCCTCCTTCTCCTCCTCCTCCTCCTTTTCCCCTTCGCTCTCCCAGCTCCCTCCTCGCTCCTCCCTCCCTCCCTCCCAGTCCTCTCCTGCCTCCCCTCCTGCTGGGGAAACCAGCTGCGGTAGGTTCGTGCGGCGTCGGCGTGCCGGCGCCGGCGAGGGCGTTCGAGCTCGAATTATGCGACGCGGGCGCACCGAGGGACGCGGCGACGCCGCGGCACCCGACGGAATTCAAACTTGAACGGTCGGGGCCGCGATCGATTCAAGGTTGAGCAATGGACGTGGTGTCAAAACCCTTTGCGCGCGCCGACGCCGCACGAACCTACACGTGCGTGAGCTGATTTGCGAAGCCTTCCTTTCATAATCCCACCCTTCGCCAGTCCCAAGAAAGCTGCCTTACCTGCCTGGCTCGAAATCGAAGAAACAACGCTATCAACATGAACTTTTGGCGCTCCGCGCGGATTTCTTGGATCCGCGCTGGGGCCACGATCACGACCACGACCACGACTACGACCACGACGACGACGACGACCACGACGACGACGACGACCACGACGACCACGACGACGACGACCACGACGACGACGACGACGACGACGACGACGACGACCACGATCACGACCACGACCACGACCACGACCACGACCACGACCACGACCACGACCACGACCACGACCACGCCACCACCACGACGACGACGACGACCGCGACGGCGGGCGGCGGTGGCGGCGGGTGGCGACGGCTGCTGCAGGTCGAGATGGAGTCGGCGGTGCCCGGCCTCTCGGAGCGTTGGCGCCGGTGCCGGGCGCTCGAGGCGGCGCGCGGGGTGCCCGCCGTCGTAGTCGTCGTCGTCGTCGTCGTCGTCGTCGTCGTCGTCGTCGTCGACGTAGTGGTCGTCGTCGTCCTGGTGGTGGCGTTGTCGTGGTCGTGGGCGTCGTTGTTCTCGTGGTCGTCGTCGTGGTCGTGGTCGTCGTGGTCGTCGTGGTCGTCGTCGTCGTCGTCGTCGTCGTCGTGGTCGTGGTCGTGGTCGCCGTCGCCATCGCCGTCGCCGTCGCCGTCACCGTCATTGTCGCCGTCGCCGTCGCCGTCGTCGTCGTCGGTGGTGGCGTGTGGGTCGTGGTCGTGGTTGTGGTCATGGTCGTGGTCGTCGTCGTTGTCGTCGTCGTCGTCGTGTCCGTGGTCGTCGTAGTCGTTGACGACGTCCTCGTCGACGCTGTCGCCGTCGCCGTCGTCGTTGTCCTCGCCGTCGCCGTCGCCGTTGCCGTCGTAGTCGTCGTTGTCGTTGTGATGTCGTGGTCGTCGTCGTCGTCGACGTAGCGGTCGTCGTTGTGGTTTTGGCGTGGTCGTGGCCGTGGTCGTGGTCGTGGACGTGGTCGTGGTCGTTGTCGTCGTCGTCGTCGTCGTGGTGGTGGTGGTCGTCGTCGTGGTCGTGGTCGTCGTCGTGGTGGTGGCGTGGTCATGGTCGTGGTCGTGGTCGTGGTCGTCGTCGTCGTCGTCGTCGTCGTCGCCGTCGCCGTCGTCGTCGTCGCCGTCGTCGTTGTGGTCGTGTCCGTGGTCGTCGTCGTGGTCGTGGTCGTCGTCGTCATCGTCGTGATCGTCGTCGTCGTCGTCGACCTCTTCGTCGTCGTCGTGGTCGTGGTCGTCGTCTTCGTCGTCGACAACTTCGTCGTCGCCGTCGCCCTCGCCGTGGCAGTCGCAGTCGTCGTCGTCGTGGTGGTGTCGTTGTCGTTGTCGTGGTCGTGGTCGTGGTGGTGGTGGTGGTCGTGGTCGTGGTCGTGGTGGTGGTCGCGGTCGTCGTCGTCGTGGTCGTTGTCGTCGCCGTCGTCGTCGTCGCCGTGGTCGTAGTCGTCGTCGTCGTCGTCGTCGTCGTCGTCGTCGTCGTCGTGGTGGTGTCGTAGTCGTTGTCGTGGTCATGGTCGTGATCGTCGTCGTCGTCGCCATCGTCGTCGTCGCCGTGATCGTTTTCGTCGTCGTCGTCGTCGTCGTGGTCGTCGCAGTCGTCGTCGTTGTGGTGGTGGCGTGGTCGTGGTCGTGGTCGTCGTCGTCGTCGTCGCCATAGCCTTCGTTGCCGTCGTCGCCGTCGCCGTCGCCGTCGTCGTGGTGGTGGCGTGGTCGTCGTTGTCGTCGTGGTCGTGGTGGTGGTCGTCGTCGTCGTCCTCGTCCTCGTCGCCGCCGTCGCCGACGCCGTCGCCGTCGCAGACGCCGTCGTAGTCGTCGTCGTGGTGGTGTCGTGGTCGTGGTCGTGGTCGTGGTGGTGGTGGTGGTGGTCGCGGTCGTCGTCGTCGTGGTCGTCGCCGTCGTCGTCGCCGTGGTCGCCGTCGTCGTTGTCGTCGTCGTAGTCGTCGTCGCGATGGTGGCGTGGTCGCCGTCGTGGTCGCCGTCGCCGTCGCCGTCGCCGTCGCAGTCGTCGCCGTCGTCGTCGTCGTGGTGGTGTGGTCGTGGTCGTGGTCGTCGTCGTCGTCGTCGTCGACGTCGTCGTCGCTGTCGCCGTTGCCGTCGCCGTCGTCGTCGTCGTCGTCGCCCTCGCCCTCGCCGTCGCCATCGTAGTCGTCGTCGTCGTGGTGGTGTCGTTGTCGTTGTCGTGGTCGTGGTGGTGGTGGTGGTGGTCGTGATCGTGGTCGTGGTGGTGGTCGCGGTCGTCGTCGTCGTGGTTGTTGTCCTCGCCGTCGTCGTCGTCGCCGTGGTCGTAGTCGTCGTCGTCGTCGTTGTGGTCGTCGTCGTCGTCGTCGTCGTCGTGGTCGTGGTCGTCGTCGTCGTCGTCGTCGTCGTCGTCGTCGTCGGTGTCGTCGTCGTCGCCGTCGCTGTCGCCGTCGCCGTCGCCGTCGCCGTCGCCGTCGCTGTCGCAGTCGCCGTCGCCGTCGCCGTCGTCGTCGTCGTCGTCTTCGTCGTTGTCCTCGTCGTCGTCGTGGTCGTGGTCGTCGTCGTCGTCGCCGTCGTCGTCGTCGTCGTCGTCGTCGTCGTCGTCGGCGCCGCGGCCGGGCGCTCTAGGCGTGCGCGGCCGCCGTCTTGGGCGTCTCTTGGGCCACTTTTGGCCCTCCTGAGCGGTTTGGGGGCTTTCGCGGGGTCTCTTTGCGCCGCTTTGGAGCGATCTTGCGGGCCTGTTGAGCCGTGTTGTACATTGTGAAGACGAAAATGGCGAATGTGCCAAACATATACGATTTCCTCAGGCATTGGGGGGACCGTTGCCTCAAGGGGCCCTCGTTCGGGTCCTTTTGCAGCCCTCTTTCGGTGTCTTCGAAGCGGCTTCGGCCGTCTTGAGGCTATCGTGGGTGTCTTTGAGGCTTCCTCGGCGTGTTGGAGCCTAGTTGGAGCAAGCTTAGATGGAACCTTAAGCATCTTGGAGGCCACGGAGCTAGGTTTTGGAGGCTCTGGAGGCCCTTAGGGGTGCGTTGGCGAGCTCGTCCCCCCCCCGGGGGGTGCGCTCAAATGAGATTGCGAAGGCCTTACGGCCGGTGCCGCCGACCCTGAATGGCGACGACGACGACGACGACGACGACGACGACGAGCGCTCTTGGGGGCCTCTTGGGGGTAGTTTGTGGGCCTCTTGGGAAGCTCTTAGGGGCCGCTTGGAAGCCTCGTGGGGGCCTCTTGGGGCTTCCTGGGGGTCTCTTGGAGGGGGCCTGGGACGTCTTGGAGGCTTCTTGGACGGTCTTGGGGCTATCTTGGGCGTTTTCGGCCGATCTTTGGGCGACTCGGGGCCCTCTTGGGCCGTCTCGGGGGCCATCTTGGGCATTCGGACCTCATTTGGAGTGTTTTCGAGGTTTCTAGGCCGCCCGAGGAAAAACCAATCTGCCCCCCACCCCCCCCGGGACCCCCCCCCCACCCTGGGGAAGGGATCAAAGGGAAGGGGCTTCCCTTCGACTCGATTACGACACTGCTAGATTTTTCTCTCGCTCACGAGCTTGAGAAGGAAGCTGCAGGGAAAGGGGACGACGGAGGCGACGACCGACGGAGACGACGACTCGAACAGCCAAGCCCCTCGCACACGCCGACATGGTCGGCGGATTTTGGACCTCGGGGGAGGGGGAAAGCGGGGACGAGGACAACCAAGCATCTCACACGCCTTGTCAGCGCCGACAAGCGGGGGTCGGCGAACTCTGGTCTTCCTCCTCCTCCTCCCCCTCCGTCCTCCTCCCTTCCATTTTCCTCCTCCTCCTCCTGTATTCTTTTTTCCTTTTGAATAACAAATAACTCCCCCCATGTCGCGCCCCGAGGCCGGTCGAAAGGGCGGTCCGGGCGTTTCGCCGGAGATTTCTTCACCGCTTATGGCCCGAAAATAAAGCACTCCGACGGTAGGACCCCACATGGTAATCTTTTCGGCTAATCTGGAAATGCCCGTCCCTCCTGTTTCCTCTGCGTCATTTTCCTTCTCGCCCCGGCGCGGGCCCTCCTCCCGTTCCCTATGTTGCCCCCTCCTCGCCCTCCTGTTTTGTTCGCGCCCTGCCACCTCCTCCCCTTTCTATTGCATGAGCGCGCTTGGCGATTTTCCTCGGCGCCGTCGCCGCCTCGGCCAGCACGGGCGCATTCTCTAATGGTCACAACGCGCAGCCGTTGGGACAACCTCGCGGGCCAGGCCGTCGGGACAACCCCGCGAATCGGTGGCACGCGAGACCAAACCGTTGGGACAACCGCGCGGGCTTCGAGCGGGGCGCAGCCGCGCTCAGGCGGGAGGCAGCACGAAGCCCAGCTCTGCCGCGAGTTGCTCCGCCTCTGCCCTGGAGCTCTCCGCAAGGACGCCGGCGGCCCCCGTTCCAGGAACTCTCGCGGTGGTGGCCGCAGGATCAGCATGTTCCGCATGCGCGTGGCGCGGGAGAGCATGACGCATATAGCAGCCACCACTGGTCGTCCGACAAGCCCTTGCGCAGCGTCTGGCCTGACAGCGTGGACGCGAGGTAGGACGCGTGCCCCATGGTGAATCCCGAGCGGGTCACGGCGTGCGGCCCCGACTTCTGCCACGCAAGCTCCTGCTCGCAGGGCTTGAACATCAGCAAAAAGCTCCGCGCCCACGCCTCGGCCTGGCCGTCGTCGTCGGCGCCTTCGGCGCCCTGTCGCAGCAGCTCGGCGACCTCCTGGTAGATCGGAGACCCTGTTAACTGGCTGCGCCTGCAGCCAGTTTCACTGCGGTAGGAAGCGGGGGCGAAATTGTTGGCCTGTATTCAGAGCGTGAATTACCTACCCCGCTTTCGCTTCCAGGCAAAACCAAATCGTACCACGCGCCTCCTCGTCAAGCGGCCTGACCAGTACATGCCGTAGTTTGGCATCGCTTGGTATCTCTTGGAAGCGAGGGTGGTCAAAAGCAAGGTAGGTTTGTTTGCCCCCTATGTATGGCGAGCGCTCCTCGTGCCGCTGCTCGTCCTCGGGGTGGAATTCGAAGGACACGATGGTGGCCCGTTGCTCCTGCACGAACCCCAAGTTTTTCTTCAGGTTGTCCTGCACTGCCGTGAACTGCAGACGAGGCCCCCGCCCGAGACTTCCCCAGCGTTCAGGCTTCAGGAACCGACGACAATCACTCCAATCGAGTGACCCGCCCGGGTTAATAACGTAATCTGCGGGCCCCGTAAGGGGGGGGGCCGCCGGAGATTTCTTCGCAATTCACTCACAGACGAGGCTCCCGCCATATATTTCTGCCATATTCATGCCACAGGAACCCCAAGACGACAGTTATTTGAATCAAGTGACCCGCTCGGATTAGTAACGTGGCTTGCGGGCCCCATAAAGACGAGGCCCCCGCCTGAGAATTTTTTGCAATTCGCCCACAGAAAAGACTCCTGCCTGATACTTCCTCAAATTCAGGCTTCAGGAACCCAGAATTGA